ATAAAATATAATATAAAACTAATATAATATCAATAAAATAATATAAAATAATGTTTAAAAATATCTATAATATTACATTATTTTTATTTAGTTGTTGTGAATTTATCAAACACAATTTAGATGAAAGCAAGATGTTTAGGTGTAATAAATGTGGAATTATGATTGATATATAAAGATTTTAATAGTGTCTAAGGAATTTTTTTTCAAACTTTGTTTGATAAAACTGTTTGTATATAATGAACTCCCTATATACATACTCTAATTAATTATTTTATATATAGTAATTAACTTAGTTAGCTATTTATGTATATTAATGATCGATTCAATCCATTTGAACTTATGTACTTTTTTACAAAAAATCAGGAATGACTCTAAATTACCATTTTCTGCAGTCTAATTAAAATATGTTTCTCATGACCTGATCTTAAATTTTGATTGGTCAAAATTACAGGGGTGAACAATTTAAGGCTATACAAAGTTAATTTTTTGGTTCTCGTAACCCGGCCGGGTCATTTTCTCTAAAAATTAAAATTTTTTTTTTTTTATATATGATAATAATAATTTTTTTTTGTCAATATAGAAAGTTTTTCATAGAAAATTTTTACCCGGCCTGCCGGGTCATTTGTTTTACTTCATGTTATGAGAACCAGAAAATCAACTTTGTATGGCCTGTTTTTGCAAGCAAATTTGCCTGCAAAATATCGCACAATTTATCGGATTTGGCACCGACTTTATATAATACAGATACTATTAATTCTCTTTATGCACCGAACTTACATCGGTTTCCGATTCCTAGTAATAATAAAAGGATATACCTAGATAGTTTATATTTTTAAATCGAATAAATAAAAAATAAAGCAAAATTGATGGGTTATTGTCAACATAAATTAGCCAATCATAGAATGTCTTCCTAAGAAGTTGGTCCAACTAATAATCAAAGTTGTCATCACAAATTTAACTAAAGTCGAATTAGTAACTTAAATACTGAGTTGTTAGATAAATTAATTTATCTCTAGCACCTGGCCTTCGAATGCATCTGACAAGGTTCTTTTAGAATTCCTGCAGCTAAAAATAAGAATTTAAATTGTCGTCATCGAAATGACACAAGTTAACGGGTAAGAGATCCGTTAAGCACAGTTTAGATTATGCTGTAATACTGTATTGTAAATTTAATGATATATTAATCCAAAATATTATTCAGAGTTGAAAGTGATAAGCAGTTCTCATATCCTGATGTGCATTCAAATATTGTATCAATTATGAATGCATTTTCTACACCAATTACCTATGAAGGAAAAATGCAAGATAATATATCCGTAAAAATGTTCATGTCTATCTGCAACAATTTGCAACCATCAGACCTTCTTGCGTTGGCATGTGTGTGTAAAGATTTCAAAAATATGCTTGACGAGAATATTAATCCATTGGCTGGGGCAACATGGAGTAATTCTAGAAATCGGTTTACTATTTTTAAAGACAAGGATCCTCCGACGGGAATGAATCAACAAACTTTTGCAAGATTATTAACATTTAAAAATGGCTGTCAATTTTGCAAAACTGAAGAGAGAGTAGCCACTGTATATTGGGTTCCTGGTGTTCGTTCTTGCAGAGAATGTATGCTCCAAAGAGCATTTAGGTAATTTAATTTACTTACTAGCTTAGCATATTCCTTAATAGTAATTTGATTTCATTTAAAATTTTATTAATAATATTTTTATTAGTTTTCGTGAATTTCAAAATAGTTTTAATATTGATAACGAAATTCTTGGGCTTATTGTACCTGTAACCCCAGACATATATTTATCTGATGCACCAGATGAATCAACATATTATTGGATTAGTCATGTCAAGAGTACTATCGCATTTTTTATGAATGCAGATGATAATACTCGGTCAGAATTAAATAGGCTGAGAGAAAACGTTGGGATCATTTTTAAAGAAGCCCAACATTATCATGAATGGACAAATAACTTATATCAATCTCAAGTCAGAGATCAAAAATTACATTTTGAAAGATTTCTTTCAGAGATTAAAAGAGAGTCTTTATTTAAACTACAACATGATGAAGACTACCAAAGATTGGTATTAAAAATACAAACAAATCCCTTTTTGTTTCAAGATTGGCAGAAATATAAAGCAAGAATTTTACAACTTGTACAAAGAAATTCTTGTAACGAATTTAACATTCAAGGAGAACCTTCGATTACTGCATTTAATGGTACAACTAAACGAAAGGTTGATAATACATCGAATTCATCGAGCTTTCAACAAGGGACTCCTAAAAAGTCTAAATCAAACGGTCAACGGAATCCGGAGTTATCCGATCCAAATAAAAGACAAACCAGAATTATTAAACGTCTGAGGAAATTAACATATGGTACAGTTCAAAAGTCACCAGAAGAATCTTTAATAAGCATTCGAGACCCATTATATGCATATTTATCTATGTGCCCAAGCTTCGTTAAGCCACCTTTAATTAGTGGATCTGATTATACTAAAGAATTTTTCGAAGAAACTCTTATCCCAAGGCTCAAAATGGAAGCAGAACAACTTCGTACGAGCAATGTGCCCCCACCACCTTATTTACTCGACACGCAGGGAGCGATGGAACTTGGTTTCGGAAGTGTTCCAATTTTTGGGTGTCTTCTTTGCACCTCAATTATCCCATGTACTTTTAAAAAAATGAAGCAGCATGCTAGAACTTTTCATAAAATTGATGCTAATCCTGAGAGGGTGATTTCAGTTAATTGTGACGCGATGATAACATATATGCACCTTGCATTTATTAAAAAGAAAAAAAAATGAAAAAAATGATTAGTTTATTTATATATACATATATATATATATGTATATATATTTTTAAAATAGTGTGTGCATACTGTAAATCATATCTTTTTTATTATATTGTTATTAAATAAAATAAAGTGTAGCTTTGGCTTTAGAAGCACAAGATCTTTAAAGCATATTTTTAAATTTCAATTCATGTAATTTAAACATAAAGTCAAATACAAAAGTTTTTAGTTTTCTACAAAGAATTATTATGAAGCTGGCTACAGTTCTAGATAAAAAATCCTAGTCATGGCAAAAATAATTTACCATCATGACGACTGATCTCGTAATACAACGTTTCAAAGACAAAAAAAAAGCGAAATATTCGAAAACTAATCATTTTACTTGATAGTTTACTTTTATAGTCCTAAATCTAACGTCCAGATTCTAATTTTTTACTTTACACTCTTGCAATGGCAAAAATACCGTTTCTGATGGATCATCGGTACTGTTCCTGATAGGGTAAAAAAACAAATATCGATTTACATACCGTTCCTAATAGGGTTCTAAAAAAGGGCCTCTAAAATACTATACTACCATAGTGAAGTATATGAAAAATGATAGGATTAGGGTTCGTTTTTAAAACCCTATCAGGAACAGTACTCAAATAATTTTTTTTTTAACTCCATCAAGATCGGTACCGACGATTTATCAGGAACGGTACTTCTGTCTTGCAATGGTTTATATTAAAAAATTTTATTATTTTTTTTTAATGTTAAGGTGAGTACTTGTGATTCAGGATTTTATTGATAGCATGTTTTGGCTAGGAGGCAATCATAAAAAATATGTACAACTAATTACTTATACAATTTTAGTCATTGTCTAATTTAAATAATTCATCTAAAGGTTTTATATTAGTTGTCATACCTAGAACCTATCTGTATATTTTTTATTTAAACATTTTAGTTTCTGTATCTATCTACCTATCTTTCTTACCAACTACTTTAATCATTACTAGTATAAATATATCATAGTTACAAAGTTTTAAAGCAGTTCATTTATATAAAAAACCTTTGATTTTTTTTTTTTTTTTTATATTAAAGTCTTTTATCTTTGAGTTGTAATTGTTTTATTAAAGTTATAGAACATAGGTATCACCAAGGACTCCTTATATTGAAGGTTACAACTAATTATACATGCATTTTTGATGCCTAATTTAAATAGTCCATTTACATATTACTATATAAGTTTTATATTAGATGTCATATCTGCAAGCCAGTTAGGGGTCTTGTCTATTTAAACCTTTTGCATATGCAATTCATCTTGTATTATGAGAACATCTTAAAGTTATATTCATTTAAGTTTTTAATATTTATTGGTATCTTAAGATTACTTTATCCTCAACAAAAGACTTACTAAAACTTTTATGTTTTATATATATTAACCTAGTTTTATATAATATACTATAGTTACCTTAACACTTGCAATCACAGTGATTACTTGTTTAACTGCTATATTACATTATTTTTATCCTTATAAAGTTTACCCAAACTCTGGTACCTATCTTCCTAACTTCTTTTCTTTATTTCTCTACTATCTAATTTAGAATTCAATAGACTTTTCAAATTTCCAATCCAGATAACTTAATATGATATATATTTAATATTATTTTTTTCTGATGGTTTTGGCAGCCTAGTTGATTATATGCTTCTCTATACATCTTATTATCTGGTTACATATCTGCTTATTTCTTATTAAGATTTTGTAAGCTTTTATCAATCTAATAGTACTATCAAAGATTTGTATTATCTTTTTACTCAGGAATTTTTAAGTAGAATTCTGTCTCTTTAGTTTCTTAGTTTTCTGTATCTAGTAATCTTATCATATGTTTGTACTAAAATCTTATATAATACTAGTTATTAATATTTCTTTATATATGTATAATGTTATACTTCATATAAATGCTTTAAGCTATTATATGATAGATAGAACTCAATTTGATATATCTAAGATTACAAATTATATCTAAATCCAACTAATTAATAGAAAATAGTTTGTTATATTGCAACTTAATTTTCAAATTTTGTCATATATGGGATTTAAACCTTAGACCTGCTACTTGAAAAATAACAACTCAATCATTATATTAGGAACATCATTTTCTCAACTTTTAATTTTGTATTAAATCTACTAAAGTTTTTTATATTTTATATTTATAGTTGTTTTAATAATAATTAAGACAATACTTACAGTTAAAATTAATTATTAAACTGTTATATTTTTGTAAAATTTATCTAAATTCCAGTATTTATCTTTCTGATAGTTTTTTTATTATTTTTACTAATTACTACTTAGAACTAATAGAATTTCTTAGATTACTAATTTATATAATCTAGTATAATAGCTTTTTTAATAATTCTATTAGTTTAGTTAGTTATATACTTTTTTTATATATTTTGTTGTTTAGTTTATTTGTTTATTTTTTTGAAAATGGTTTATAAACTTTCATTAGTTCAATAGTATTGTTAAAAGTTTGTTACTTTGTTATTTGAAAATTTTTAAATAAGTTTTTGTTTTCTTAGTTTTTGAGTCTTTTATATTCAATAGTCTTATTGTGAATTTGTATTAAAGTCTTATACAATACTAGTTTTAATATTTTTATATATATATATAATATTATACTTTATATAAATACTCTAAGTTTTTAATAATGAATAGAATCTAACTTATATAATTAAGATTACAAATATATAAATTTAACTAATTAACAAGACAATTACTATAATATAGATTAATTTTTAAAATTTTAGCATTTATAAAATTTAAATACTAGACTTGTTATTTGAAAATTAACAACTTACCTACTATTTTAAATTATTACACTTTATTAAAAAAATTTTTTTAATATCTTTATATAATTAATAATTTGTTTAAAAACATAATTAAATTATTTTTTTAATAAAATTCTTTTATGTATTTTGTATAAAACATATTTAATTTTTTAATATAATTCCAAATTAATATTTAACTTCTAAGTATAAATACTTTTTTTTTTATAAATAGCAATCTTGCTTGTCTGCCTTTTATTGGATTAATATCTGGATATATAATTAATACAAAGTTTATTAATGAAAATATAACTAGTCATATATATAACTTTAGTCATTATCTAATTAAGGGTTCTATCTGAGAGTTATTTACTAGCTACTATACCTGAGATTTGTTTGTAAATCTCTTATTTAAACTTTCTAATTTTCAATCTTATGCATTACAACCTTTCATTATTACATGGATATATCAGATTAGGGCTATCTAATTACTATTTATATCAAAGTACTATCTTATTGGATGTTATCAAGTATCTATAGTCCTTTGAATTTACTCTCAATGCAAACTTACTAAATATGATATCAAGATTACCCTCTTAGATTTTATCTGTTTTGAGTGTATCCTGTATTTACTAAACCAGTTTTGGTATCAGAAGTGTTTGAATTTTAGTAAGTCTATTTCTTTCCTATAGTTTTCTTTTATATTCACTATATTACCTACTAGTGTGTCTTTTCTCCATTTCTGGTATGTTTACTACTTTTCTTGCATCAAGCATCAACTCTCTATATCAAAAAACTTTTTTTCAAAACTTTCTTATATGCTAATCTTCTAATTACATAGACTTAAGCTATAGAGCTTTATGTATATTTATATACTTCTGTAGATTACAGAGTTTTGTCTTTAGCTAGAATTGAATTATTGATCTTGTTTGTGAAGAGAAAGGTGCCTAAACCATTAGACTACAGGACCCCATCCTCTCTAAATATAAATAGTATATAAAACTTTTTAAATATATAATATAATTTAGTTTTAATTTATAAAAGTTTTTTATTTTTTTTAATATTAAAATAAATATTTGTAATTTAGACTTTTATTAATAGTATGTTTTAGCTTTGTATTTGTATTACAACAGTTATCAAGAGTAATTATAAAAAGAGTATACAACTAACTATTTGTACAACTTTAGTTATTATCTAATTAAGTAGTTTACTTAAAGGTTTATACTAGTTGCTATACTTAGAACCTATCTGTAAATTCTCTATTAAATAGTTTGGTTTTTATATCTACTACTTATCTACTCTACTAATTGTCTTAGTTTTTATTAGTACAAATATATTATAATTATTAAGTCTTTAAAGTAGTTCACTCATATAAAGAACCTTTAACCTTGTACTAAATTTATCAAAGTCTTATGTTATTTAGTTTTTAGTTAATCTTGTATTTTGCTATAACTGAAATTAATATTTGCAGTTAGAATTAATTCTTTAATTACTATACTCTTGTAGAGTTCATATAATTCTAGTATCTTTTTTTACAACCTCATTAGTATTTTGTACTTTCTTGCAAATTCATTTATATTACCAATTCAATTAGCTTTATATAATATAATTTTATACCTAGTTTAACTGATAACAAGATCAATAAACCTCTTTACTTAGGATTCTTGACTATACAGATTACTTAATCCAGATTTGTTTTCTAATTAAGATTTTATAAATAGTACTATTAAAAATTATATTATTTCTCTATCTGAGATTAGTGATTCAAATCATTAGTTGAAAAATCAACTAGTTGACAACTTTTCAACTAGTTAATTTAAAAAATTTTCAAAACAATTAAACAATTGAATTATTATTTGGCTCAATAATAAGACATTCTGTCTGTTTGAACTAACTTATACTAATTTCTTTGATTTGATTAGTTAATTAACAAATTTAGTCATATAATATAAAAGTTGATTAGTTGCAACTATAGTTGATAACTAGTTAATTGATAAAATTTTTACCAACTTAGAATACTACTTTAAGGTAAACCTTTTAAAGCTTTTTGTATTTTCATTTTATAACTAACTTAGTTTTATTATAGCTAAAACTAATACTTGTAATCAAAACTAACTATTAAATCACTTTTACTTTTTTAAAGTTTATTCAAAATCTGATATCTATCTTTTTAATATTTTTTTATTTTTTTTTACTAATTATTACTCAGAATTAACAAGACTTCTCAAACTATTAATCTAAATAACTTAGTATAATATATCTATATATATTTTTTTAGAAATTCTAATAGCCTAATTAATATATATACTTTTTTTATATATTTGTTATTCAATTTATCTGACTATATCTTTAAAAGTGTTTTATAGGCTTCTATCAGTTCAACAGTATTATCAAAAGTTTGTTATTTTTTTCTTAAAATTTTTAAATAAACTTTGGTTTTTTTAGTTTTTTAGTCTTCTATATCTAATA